AAGGTTGCGACTTGCAAGATCTTGCAAGGCCCTAAGGTGCAAAGCCGGCGGTGGCCTGAAGCGGTGGCGGAAGCTTCTCGACGGAAGCATCCGATGCGTAGGGGTCCCACTGCCACAGGCTCTTGAACCACAGCCTCGTCAACACTCTGTGCTGCGACAATAGTGCTACCCAGTAGCAGATCTCAACTTCAGCCAGTCGACAGCTCGAAACACTGCAAGGATGGATGCCAAGCCGCACGTGCCATTCACCAAGTGGTTGATCGACGGTAAGGTCCTTTGGAAGCAGCTGTGCAGACACAGGGCTTGCGGAGTGTCTGGAGATGGCCCGGTCAAAATCAGAATATGCTACGGCTCTTGACGCAACTCCGAGTGTGAGTTTGACCGGCTTTGCGTTTGGGGAATTATGCCCTGTAGGTGACTACTTCCAGGCGAAGATGTTGGCGGCTCCCAAGCCAAACGGTGATACTTCTCACATCAACCTTCGCTTGCTTCCTCCTTTTACCACCCCAGAATCAAGGCGTCTTAATCTAGTTCGAAGTGGCTTCCCCTTAAAACACTTCACTTGCGCCCGCCGGAAGCTTTTTGCTGATTTTCCGGCTCTTCTACGGTTTGGAGGCTGCCACCTTCCCAATAACGGGGCATCCACCCCCCTGGCCGATTGCTCAAACTGCGGGGGATGTCGGAAGTTTGAGCTGGAGCTTTGCTTGGAAGTTGCATACAGGTGCAGATCGCCGCAACTTCACATTGTCTAAAGATTAAAACAAACACGGTACAACAGCACGCCAAGTAGTAAGACCCACTCCCACCCACCACGACGCGCTTTGCAGGAACTTGCTTGCAAGCATCCAAGGAGAGGCGCCCATCTGCCGACCTCGTCTCCGGTGGCTTCCGTGGGACTCGGGGGGGACGTTGAACGGCAGAGGAAGTCACACAGTCACACGTGCGCTGTACAGCTGAGACTGCAGCAGCACAGTGAGGACAGGCACACGTGCGCAGTCCACGAGCTGCAGTTTCAGAGCCTTGGTTGACGCAGGACACGCTCGTCGTCAAGGCCGAGAAGGCACGACCGCTTTGCCAAGTCGCTGGATCCTCCGTCCCTAGTGCCGCCCTCACCTGGTGAAGAGCCTCGATGGGGTCCGGTGCCGGGACCTCAGTGCCATCTTCGTAGTAGCTGCTGCCTTGGATGGGCCAAAGATATATCTGCATCAGGGACCAAGCTTGAACCGGGTAGAGAGTGCAGACGCCGAGATCTTCACTTGGAGTGCTATCCCTTGCAGGGCTTTCGGATTTCCCTGCAGTACCCGGGGTGTGGTACAGTTTGCGTTCGGGTGCTGTCGCTGCAGTGCTGTTTTCACTGACATCGCACCATCCAACGTGTGCCCTACACCATCGAATCCGCTTGCCGCCCTCACTTCTTGCCCTTCTTCTTGCCACCTTCCTTCTCTTTTGCCTGGGACAGCTTCTCTGCAAGGACCTGTCGGAGGGGGCAGGCAGGGCGAGTTTTCTCAAATAGTCAGGATCTGGATAATAGCTTCACGCCCTGGCCTGCTTCACGCACTTCTGCTCCTCAATCAGGAAGGCTCGCACGACGCGTTCTCGAACACAGTGCCTGGCATCCACTTGAAGGCTCGAGTCATTCATGCACGATGCCTCCCGTAAATATACAGTGTGCATCCCTCACACTGCCGCTCTGCGGCATAATTTCAATCCAAGAGTCGCGCAGCGGGATCCCCCATAAGCTCTGTTGACGCGCTTCTCGCGCTTCTTCAGGCGGGAGTACCTCGCCACCACGTGGCAGAAAAGGGGAGACGGTGACAGCTCATGATGACACAGCTCGGTTCGTGCAGCTATGCGCAGCCCGTGCTGTGCCGGGCCACTCGATGGGGCGCAAACGTGGGAGGCCGATCAATGCCTTGCCACCTAGGCGCGTGCATTTGCCATCGTATTCTGCAGGCTATCTGGCAAGCACCCCAGGCACCGCCCCTCTGAGTTCAGCTAGCCCAACTCCGTCAGACAAGTGGCAGTCACCGCAGTGCGGGCCCTTGGCTTTCTTCCTCGGTTTGCAGACCAGAACTGCCGCTCCTGACGATGACTATGTGATGTGGACCATACCCCGCCGTCCCAAGAAATAACAACGCATAAATTGCCCTACTTACAAGGACTGAAAGGGCCAAGGTCAAGCTTCTTGACGGCCTGGTACACAGCTCGACCGCCCGGCGTCTTCACGACTCGCCTCAGACGGGACGGCCGCAACGTGCAACCTCCTTCAACGCGGCTCTCGACTCCAAGTTGCGGCCCTTCGTCACAGCTGGGCGCCCAGCTGCTTGTTCGACTTCGTGTTGTAACCTTAGGAACAAAACACGCGCAAAAGATGCAGGAAGAAAAGAAGAAACGGCTCATCGGGCTCGTCGAGCCAGGCCGCGGCACTGACGGCGGTAGGTCAGGCGAAAAGCCATGGCGCAGGGCGATACGACGGATACGACAGAGCCAGTCTATGTGTCCGAGCCAAAGCTTTCAGCAGTTAGTTCTGTTCCTTTGCGCCTACGCCGCTGCAAAAGGGTATCTTGCAATTTCTTGCAAACACCTTGATCTACAGATCTGGTGATCAAGCCTGCTTGTGATTGATGCTGTTTGCCAACCAGATGCCCGTATAGACCACGACGTCCAGATCCGAGTCAGGGGTGTCAATTCGTAGCGCTGTGCTGCCAATTAGCGCCAGCCTGACCGGTTGCATACCAATGACAGCGGCAGGGGGTCAGTGGTTGCAGAAGTCTTGGTAGCGGCAGAAGAGTTCGCAGGCCGGTTCCGGCACAGGAGTCAAACCACGACGGCCACCGTATCTATACCAAGCACGAAGCGAGTAGAGGCTCCAGAACAGGAGCATCAGTTCACAAAAGGGCATGCCGAAAACTTCGAAGACACTGCCACTTGGAACAAAAGATCATCGAGCTGACGGACACGTCCCTAGTTCTCCCTCCGAGCCAACACCGTTGCACATCGTTTCGTTTGAGAGCCCAGAGCACAACTGCGGGTCGGGAATCTCACAAATTATCTTGCGTTAAATATCGTTATATAAATCAATGATGACGAAGAGTGTTAAGCTTGTTGAGCTGCTAGCATGTCTACAGTTTGCCAGGCACACAAGACACACTTAGCCTCTGGAAATGGCTCCCCAGCGCTGTCTGCGCAGCCCCTGAGACAGCAAGCGCTGCAAGGCACTGAAATATTTGCCGGCTTTGGGGCGAGTTGTTCCCTGAGGCAGTATGGTGGAGACCTTCCCATCACTCGCGCACCAACATCCCAAATGGCAACCAGGCTGCTGAGCACCACGTCATACAGCTTTTCTCTGGCAGGGTAGCGTGCGACGGCCGCACTTCGAATGAAGTCCACGACACCTCTGAAGCTGGCATCTTGATATTGGGCTGAGGTCTCAATGCTATGCAGGCCGGTGCAAGTCGCTGGTCTGGCCTGCAATGCTCGACTCCGCGGAGCGTGCTCGGGGTAGTGGGCCTGGGCTGCCTCTGCGCACCACTGATACTGACTCTGAAATGGCATGGCAGCTGGTCGTTGTGTGACATCTTAAGAAAGCACAGAGTGTGCCTCCGGAGTCGCTGCAAGTGGTCGAGGTCTCTTCCTTTTCAGGGCTTTGGATGGACGGTCCGAGACAACGGAGCCTGGCGTTTTTTCCAGGGCCTTCTCGTCCGGACAGGAGATGCCGGGATAGAAAACATCGTAGACAGCTCCGTCAGGGCCGATCAAGGTCTCATCCCCTTTCCTGGCCAGGCTTGGTCTATGGAAGCATTGCTTCAGTGGCTCCTAAGAGACCAGTTGTGCACCCAAATGGGGGTTTCTTCAGACTCGGTAGGAGACAAGAATCGGGCTCTGCTCCCAAGCTTCAAGCTTCTCACCTCGCAAGCGCAGAGTCTGTCCATCTTCGATCTCTGCTAGTGTCCTTGAACGAGGAACGACATGAACAGCACTCACCGTCGGAGCCTGCCCAAGACCAGCCGTCCGGCTGTGTCCTCAGTAACACGACACGGCACCAATGAAGGCGACTGGGCACTGACATCACACTCAGCCGGGCAATTCAGTGGAGCAGCGTCGCCACTTGCCGACTCGCCTGCACAGCCTGCGATTGACAGTCTCAGGAGGCAAGATCAACAGTCGGCTGGTGACAGGAAAGATCTGCGAGAAGTCTCAGGGTAGATGCTCTATATCGACTCTACCGAACATGTAGGAGCCGTGCACCTGAAGTTGACCCAGCAACAGGCCAATCACTTTCCGTCCATGACATGACTCACCTTCGTGGGCACCATATCACGGGGCAGCTGTGCCAAACTCAGACACAGAGGTGTTAGGCGTGTGGCAGTCGCAGTCTTCCAGCGCACAAGTGCACTCAGAGCTTGCCTAGCCGCAGAAGAACAACAAGCAAGGGTCGGTGCAGCAGCAAGGCAGATACACAAAACCCCCCAACCTGCGGCACGAGGATCTGCATGTCGAGCCGAGATATGTCGCCGAGTCAGAAGCCCAGGGGCGCTGAGAAATGATGGGCTTAGAACTCACAGGACGAAGCCTCGTCTCAAAATGCTGTCTTACCGAATCCTACCATTTCCCCACTGCTGCAGGTGAGAAAAGTGTTTTCCAGAAGGTGAGATATCATGGGATGTTGCAGGCTGACTTCGGGTTAGGGTTGTTTCTATCCTATCGCAATGCGACAATGGTGTCGTAATGGTGTCAGAATCGAGGCTTCGTCCATGAGTTCTTTTGAACGCTGCGTTTCTTCCGGGTTTGGTCCAAAATGACTTTGTAAGACGACATCCTCTCGCTCAGCAGTGCAGGAGGCGAGATAGCGCCACCATTGGAGAGATCAGCAACCCTCACGCTGGCCAACATGGGCAGTACAGGGACGGAACACTATCTTCTGAGACTCTCCACAAGCCGCAACTCCAGCGTCAACTTTGGACATGGTCAGGTCTCGTGGCACAGTGCAAAAGCCGGACTTAGTCGATTGTAGCCATGACTGTCCTTGGTGAACCCAAGATATCGAGGGCTCCAACTGGCCCCTACATCGAGCTTGCGTCTGCGTGAGTCTGCGTGCGTCTGTGGCTCGCAGCCTGCAGGAGGCGCTGTCGGAGAGATTCGATGTATCTCGCCTCCCGGGATCTGGCATCTTGATGCTCCGTATTTACACTGGAGATTTCACTCCTCCTCGGCAGGCCCACCACAACGGTGCGAAATCGGCACTTCCTGTGCACGACTGCGGGAAGCAGCTGACAAGCAAAGCCACTGACGAGCTTTACGGAGATGGCGTCCGGTGCTTCCCCAAGCTTGCTGATGTGAAAACAGACGGTGTCCCAGCTATCATGGATAGCGGCTGGTGCCTTGAAGATTTGCAAGGTCCACTTCCTGGCAGATGCATATCAGGCCCGTATTTCGCGAACAAAAATGTCATGTCCGAGAGCTGTGACTTTTGCTGAACCCGAACTCTAACAGGCTGCTTGAGAGGCGAGATGCCCCAAGCGGCCCGCAACGGCAGCGCCACCGTGCCAGGAAGCTGGGTCCGGCCCGAAGCTCTCGCAGCCCTCCGCCCCCTCCGGGCGCAGCGTGAAGAAGCCTCGTTGAGCACTGCGCGCGTAAGCCAACCAGAGAGACTTTCGATGCCTCAATTCTTCGACTCTACCGCTGCCGAGAAACAAAGCGCGGCTCCTCGTCGCGGCACGACCCTGAATCGTCCACGGCTTGGATCTTTCCGAACGATGGAAACCAAGCGCTTCGATGATCAGATCTCACGGCCCGTCCGTTCATACATCAGATACTGGTAGCTACAAAGCCCACAAACTGCATCCATGCTCTCAACAGGTCTGCCCCAGCTCTCTAAGCAAGGTATATCCCGCCTCAGGCCAGCCAACCGACCATTCGCTCGTCGCACAAGCTCTGCAGCCTCGAGGCTCGAGGTTCCACTCCAAGAGTCGTTAGCAAAAGCAGGCGCCTGTTCGCCGAGTGCTTCTGCCACAGCAGAATGGCTTGTGTGGGTGTGGCCAGCACCTGCAACGAGGCTGTTCTAGGCAGTTATGTATCTGCTTTGATGTCGCACCAACATTCCTAAAACCACAAGACAAAATCTAATGAATAACGGCAAACCCCATGATTCAATGCTGCCCGTGCTGCCACACGTCTAAAATTGTAGCGTCCCCTCCGTCCATCCCGTTCAATGAAGCTCTGGCCTGCAAGCACTTCCCCCAAAGCTCGACAGCACGCTTCCTCATGGGTCAGAAGGCTACAGTGACTGGGCGAGACGGTGTGCGAAAGGCGAAGAAACGAAATCACAGAAAAAACAGTTGGTGCATAAGATGATGATAGCTAGAGAGCAGCTCGTCCTCCTCCCCATGCGCGTTCGGTGTTTCCGCACATGGGAAAACCGTCCGTCCGCCACTCTCCACCTTGCGCCGCATGCTAAGGCCCCGATCTCTACAGTCTTTGCAACATTGACACAGCTAGGGCATTCGGCAGTCGTCAGAGGCCTCGTTCAAGTAGAGGATGACAGAGCAAACACAATGAGGAAAACCGCCATTAACGTCCAGATGCAAGCCGATGCTCATGTCGTCTCCGTCTCCTCCGAACGGAGTGAGGACGGGGACCCTCTGCGAGGCTCGCGGGCAAAAGCCGGGCCTGGCACATGGGCCCCCTGGGCCGGCTGGTCGAACTTCAGAAACGGATTAATCTCCTCAGTTAGGTGGAGCACTGCTTTTCTAGAGTCCCCTACCACAAGTGAGAAGCCGAAAGGCTTGCCCATGGATGGGGATGCCAGTCAAGGTTGCAACCTGGCCATACAGTCTGAGCAGCTTCACGATCTGTCCCCTGTGATACAAATATGGGCCGAGGGCTGTACTTTGGGATGCTCACACACAGTTTGGCTTCGCTTCGTGGAGCAACGCTGCATGCCTCTCGAGCGTTGGAAGCTTCTGGATTTGCCAGTCAGGTCACGCGCTGTTGCATCTCCTGCATCAAAAGTTTGTCCGCACCAGAGAGACGACTTACCTGGTAGGCAGACAAGCACGGGAAAGCATTCAGTTTTCCTAAACGGCATCTTACACACTGCGCCGTAAATCTCCAGTGGACATAACTGTGACAGCTTGTCGCGCAGGCGGCGTGACAGCGACAAGAACCATCGGTCGAGGTTGATCACTCCGTTTCCATTTTGATCCCCCGCATCACTATCCGGATCTTGTCGCAAGAAGTTTATGCAAATTCTGAAATTAAGGCGTTGAGACTGCTCCTGCTACAGTCCCTTGGGAGCAAACCAGTGAAGCTGGAACCCTCGAAACCATCACAGTCAGTGTGGCACCTCCAGAGAGGCAGTGGCGACACCACGGAGCACTTCCGCGGAGGCCTCTCCCGTGCGCTGCATCTCCTGCCGAATGCAAGCGGTGCACATGACAACTGTTCCGGTTCACTTTCACATCACCAGAAACTCCTGCGCGTCTTCGTTGTGACGCCTCGGATTTCGGATACTGATTGCTTTTGGACATGTTTGTTTCCGTCATGCCCTGAGGTTTTGACCTGCAGGTCCGGAAGCCCAGCTCAATTAGTTGGGCGCATTCCTGCTCGTGACACACTGGGGTGGTAGTTTAACGCAACGCCCGTCGCATGGTTTCTGTCAGTTCTGCAATGACTTAACGTGCATTCGTTTGGGTGCTTTGCAAACTACGCAAATGAATTCAGTACCTTTGTTGAGGACCGGTACTGCCTGCATACCGGGTAGCACAACTTTGCTGCATCTAAAGGTCTGGGAGAGGCCTAGGAGGCATGTGCCCATTGGCGCCCCTGTCTGCATCGCTCGGCCGTTTGGGATCTAGGACTGCGGAACCTATTCCGAAGCAGGCTCGCACCCGCGCGACAGCCGACTTTCTGCCGATTGCATCTTGAAGTGTTTCATGTGATTCGCATGGCTGTGGCTCGATTCCCTCGAATGTTCGCTGCGGAGGAGGGTGTGGTCGAATGTCTGCTGCTGCAACCCAAGTCGATTGGTTTTGATTCTGCAAGTTGGTTGCATGTGAGAGGGTCTGGGAGCCACCGAGGGGGTTATTAGTAAGCTGTCCTCTGCGCTGGCAAAGTCAGGAAGGAACGCCGCGAGGGGGGACTCGCCTGACAAGTGCACAACCTTGATGCCCAACAGGCTTGAGATAGCTTGAGCTTCAGCTTCGGCTTGTGGGTGCAGGGAAGGCGGTTCTTGCGAAGTGCCGCAAATCACACCACCGCGGCCACAAAAGTCGACATGAGGGTGCTTGTCCACAGTGGCAGCCAAGGCTCTGCACAAGAAGGCCCCGCTTCTTTGGTAACTCGGCAAGAGCACAGAGGCCTGAGCAGCTGCAAACGCGTCGAGACGACCTCACGATGTGGCTTCTCCGGTCAGGCTTTCTTGCACTGTGTCCCGCCAGAAGGCAACCCACGCCAATGACAAATCCTTCGGAACCGTTCTAATCCGAAGAGTCAGCCAGGTGTGCCTCACAGCATGACAGCTTGACTTCCGCTCCCTGCCTGACGTACTATGCGACATGCGACCGAGCACATCCCCATATCTCCGTGAGGGTCCCTCTCTTTCGAGGTCCGGCCCGGGACGGCCTGGAGTGGCCGAAGCTCCTTTGGCAAGCTGGATGCAGCTTTGGCATTCGCGGACCAACAGCCTGTGCCAGGCATCGTCGAATCTCGCTTGCGTTCTCGCCCTCTGAAGCTCTACATGTGCGACCCAGACGCGCCGGAAATCCTGCTCCCATGTTCCCCAGCCTGCGCATGCAAGTGTCTGGCAGTAGCAGCTAAACACCAGCGACAAAGTACACCTGTAGGCTTGTATTCATCACGCGGTGAACATTGTACTTATATCCGCTGCTACCCGTAGCCGCCATAGCCCTGCAATCATGATGCTCGGTCTATGCCAACTATCGCCAGACTCTTCGATAACCGCAATGCATCAGAAGAGGCCTTGATCGGAGTAGAACAAGCTCTCGATGTCCTCTCGCCTTGGCTTGACCTTCGCAGTACGTATAGGACAGGATCCCTTGAACCCACAATGCCCATGGCAGACCACCACTGTCTCTGAAACTCTGAAACCTTCGGCTGCGCCCGCTGCGCACCGGCACCCCCGAGCCTTCTCAGCCTCAATGAGGAGCTCCTCAAGCTGCGTCTTCAGCTTTGCCTCCGTGTCCTCGAGAAGTTGACAAGTCCACGGAGCCCAGGCACTGCGGCGCCCTGCCCGCAAGTGCTCTCCTGCGCCTGCCGACAAACCGCCTCCAGCCGCACCTACCCGCACGGACCCGCACGGAGCCGGAGCCGATGCCTCCCCTCGTCACGGGCTCTCCGCTCTTGGGCCTGGTGCTGGCGCAGGCCCTCCAAGCTGCCGCGCATGGCAGCGAGGCGCCGGCGCGCTTCGGCCACAGCGGCATCGCTCATGGGGCCGAGGACGCCGACATTGGCTCAAGCCCAGTTGGGATCGAGGCATAGCTGAGGGCAGGGCAGAAGCATGCGGTGCATCGTCGAATGGTACAAGTACTGACAAGTAACTTCGTAGAGTTTTCGGGAGAGCTAATTACCACCTGGGCCCGGGCGCATCCAGCCAACATATCTGACGAGTGCTCTCTGAAATTCTCAGCTCAGCCCGAGGCTTCAGACTCCTGGGCGAGCGATGTAGTCAGGACTCGGGATTCCGCGAGGTGGTGTTATCTTTCTGGGGCCCGAAGGCAAAATCGAGGCTTCAAGTGCCTTCAGGCTGTTTGATTGCCAACGCCGAATACAGCGGCCAGACAATCTCGTTTTGCTAAAATCCTCATGCCGTTACGCACCCCATCCAGCAAAGCGGCCTCGAGACTATGGCGGCTCAGTAACACACAGAGAAACTCAGAATACAAAGACAGCTGAGAGGTGGACCATTGATGTGCGGCCACACAGGTACTGGCCGGGTAACTGTGCTTCTAAATATTTTTGTCTGACACAGTATCAGCAGTCTAAACTATGTTCGAAACTTGTTTCAGCATGCACGTGCATGTACTGACCTTGTGTCTACTTCAAACTGCACGGCACTCGCTAGTTTAGCTGTAGTGTTCTCGGCGACAGAGCCAAGAGATGCGAGCGGCCCAAGTCCAGCTTCTGGTTTGGACAAGAATCCAGCTCTCGCCGCCATTTCTGATTCGAGAAGCATCTGCCCGATTGAAGACGAGCTGACAACCCTGCCCTCCAGACTGCTTCGACTGTTTGATGCGCATGCCTCAGAAAAACTGCCACTGATCTCTAGCAAAGGGAACACAGGCATTGTCAAAGGCACGAATTATCATTATCCAATCTGACCGGATTCCCTGCTGATACACTGTGCGACAACCAGCCGTAGCCGTAGATGTGCCCTTGACCTGACTGCATCCATTCGTCTGAGGTTCTTCAAAAGTTTCACAACGTCTGTACTCGGTGAGCAAAGACCGACAACAACTAATCTACCACTCTGCGCAAGCCGAACGCAACGAAAGTCTGCCGTCCTTATACCTGCCGTAGCTTGATGCACATGTCTGAGCAGAAAGCAGCCCAGCAAAGGCCAAGCCGGCTCAGAAATGACATACCAGCGGGCTGCCACACTACAGCATTTCACGAAGCACAGCAGCCCTGCTCTAGCTTTCCTGTGCCTGGTGCTGGCCATCCCCTCTCCACATGCCACGAATGGATACTGGAAAACGTTTGTATGCCACCACTCTCCAGTAAGAGTGCCTGCGGACAAGGTCTTGGTGCACCGGGGTCCGATCCTAAGCCATGTCGGCCAGGGCGCTTGACCTCTGCGTGTTCGATGTCGCAACTCTCTGCTCCCATTCAGGCTTCAGGCCTGCTGATTGAGCAAAGGGTCGCATGAAACCTTTGAAGCACCCTGAAGCTCCAGCCTGTCTTGACAGGTCACACGCATCATCTAGGAGTGTCTTTCGCACCCTAATCGCATGCAAGCTCCATGCACTGGAGGCGCAACGGAGGCATCGACAAGGCATCAACGTTCGAAGATGCTGGCCATTGGGCTCGCTATTTATGAAATGCAAATCATGCGTTGGGTTGCGGAGTTGATGCCTCGCCTGCCCGGAAAGTGCTGGATGGGGGCAATGCGACTACGGCATCATCTGGCATCTTGCAATGATTTCGAACTGTGACTCATGCCTGCAGGCCAAGGGCCAAGGGCCTAGATGGTGCCTTGCCTGCCCGGAAAGAGTTTGTCCTAAGCCTAAACATGAAGTATTCTTGCCGAAGCTGCAGACATGAACCCGAACACCTGAACATGTGACATCCACAACATCTTATCCTGCAGTCTGCAAACTGTCTGTTCTCAAACGCCTGTTCGCACTCACGTCTACTGCAGCTTCACTACGGCAACTCCATGCGATTCTCATGACACCCCACTGCTTCGTGTTCCAACAAGTCAGTAGATTTAGTTAGTTAGTAGCTGGCTGCTCAAGCCATCATCTTACAGAGGCCACAGGACGCAACAGCGGTTGCCCACATTGCATGGCATTTGTGTGTGTGTGTGTGTGGGTGTGTCTGTGTCTGTGTCTGTGTCTGTGTCTGTGTCTGTGTCTGTGTCTGTGTCTGTGTCTATGTCTGTGTATCTGTGTCTGTGTCTGGGTCTGGGTCTGGGTCTGTGTCTGTGTCTGTGTCTGTGTATC